TTCAGAAGAATTGGACAAATTCTGAAGGAGGAGTAGTGAAAAAACAAAATAGCCGCTACTGTAATGGGCGGAGTCTTAATGTAAGGCATTGAATGTGATCAGCGATCAGCGTGAAGAGAGTAATAAGGTGTACTTAGTTTCATTTTTCTAGAACAAGGGGTTCAGGAGTTATTACCATTTCAATGTTGCTTCTGTCAGCATATGACTTGATGTTAACACTGAGCTTAATGATCAAATAAAAGGAGACAATATGAAGTTCATCCAAGACATCGAACATCCAAGTTTAAAACATGGTTAGTACTTAAAGCACAGCCAAGTTTAAGTACTAAAATGACTAAAACTGAAATTGAAATAAAAATCAGTTAAAGCTCATTTTATTTTTCCCCCTCAAGAAAAGGAATAAAAATGATTAAATCACATAATTAAAAAAACTCAAAATATTAATAAATATAAAAGAAGGGCATGTGCATATTTATTCAGTCGCATTCAGATCAGAATTAGAAATGTTGCCTGAAATAAAATAAGTTTAAGTACTCAAATTGCAAAAACTAAATCTGATATCAAATAAATTAAAGCTAAAATGAAACACACACACACAAAAGCATAACAACATTACCAAAATTTTAAGTAAAATTAAAATAAATAAAACAAATGCATACAATAAAAGCTCAAAATATGAATAAATATAGAAGAAAAAAAGGAATTAGAAAAAAATGGAAGTTCTAAAATTACTAAAACTAAATCAAAAATAAAATAAATTAAAAGAAAAAAAAGAAAAAAAAAAGACCAAAGCTTAAACTAAAATGAAAAGAAACCTGATAATACATCATATAAAAGCTCAAAATATTATTATTAATAATAAAAGGAAATCATGTGCATGTTCATTCATTCTTCTTTTGCATTGTAATCGGAATTAGAATAAATTAGAATTAATAATTACCCTTGGCAACTAATTGAAATAAAATAAGTTTATGTACTAAAATAAATTAAAGATGAATTAAAATGCAAAAAAAGAGAAAAAGAATAAGCAACAGTAACTAAAACAGAAAGTAAAATTGATTATACATAAAATAAATATTAATAATATAATCAAAATATGAATAAAATAATAATAATAATAATAAAAGAAAACCGTGTCCATGTTCATTCATTTTTTTGGCATTGTAATTGTAATTAGAATAAATTAGAAATGTTGCCTTGGCATCCAATTGAAATAAGTTTAAGTACTAAAATTACTAAAACTCGAATTAAAATTAAAATACATAAAACAAAAAATATAATATTAAAGGAAAGACCATGTGTGTATTCATTAAGGCACACAAGAGCCAATGCATTTCTTGATTGAGATTTCAGAGCTCTGATTATTATTATATTTTCATGCATAACGTTTCAGTCTGCTCCGCACGCAAAGCTATCATATGATTTCAGACGACTCCGAATATAACACATGGCTCTTATGAACTACTTTATGAATCTTTATGGTGTCTTTTTGTCATTTTTGGAGCTTGTAAGCATCCAAACCTCAATTAGTTGGAAAAGAGCAGCTTAAACATGAAAAGCTTTGGATAGAAGCGTCTGCAAAATGACCAAATCTAAATCTAAATAATATTTTCTAGGTATCAGTCAGTGGTCAGTGTTGTGTCTGGTGTCACTCACGTCTGCGTCCTCGTGTTTGTTGACCCCGTGGAAGTAAAACGGCTTGTTGTTGATGAGAAACTGTGTGCTGGTGACTTTAACGGTACGAATTCCCACAGCAAGAGTGTAGACATCCGTCTGTCCGTCCTCTGCTGTCGCCTGAACCTACAAAACCGGATCAGACAAGATGTCATGGGTTTTAACATCAACAGCAATATTCATCTACATATTCAGTATTTTAAACTGAAACATTTGAATGCATGAAACATGCCTTGCAGAAACATCTGTTCATATTTTGGATCAATGCTGCAAACAAGCAATGTATTGAATCTATAATAACTAAAAAAATAAAATAAATTGTTATTTGAAATATTAACTTTTAACATTTCATTTAGTTCTCCTTATTAACATAACTAAAACTCAAAGAATTAACTAAAAATTATATAGGCATATTAAGAAAAAAAACAAACTTACTATAACAAAATTGAAAATGAAAACAGAAAATATAAAAATAAAACTAATTCAGTTTATTAACAAAACCTATAATAGTTTCTCAGTGATACAAAAATAACACTGGTTTCACGGAAATTCATCTCATTTTCCTTTAGTTTACAAGTGATTTATTTAATAGAATTTAAAATAAATTCACACAGCTTGAATCAGGGATAATATAGTTATTAAATTTATAGCTATTACATTTTAGTTATTTGAAATAAAATAAACATTAACTGAAATAAAATAAAATATCGACTTATTTTTTTCTCTAGTTTCTAATGCAACATTTCTCATTTTCATTTAGGTTACCTTTACGTACTAAAATAACTGAAAACTCTTAACTGAAATAAAAATAAATAAAAGCTATATAATAAATAAATATAATAAAATCTATAAATAAAACTAATTCTTTTTTTAATTACTAAAACTTTTAAGAAAATTTAAAATGAAATTTTTTTTTTCGAATTTTACTAATTCAGATTATTAATAAAAACTATAATAGTATCTTAATGATCCTAAAATAACACCGCTTTAAACTGACTCACAAAAATGAATCTCTAAACTCGGTAACACTTTACAATAAGGTTTCATTTGTTAACATTACATAACTACATTAGTTAAGATAAATACTTCTAGGCAAGGCAAGTTTATTTATAGAGCACATTTCGTACACAATGGTAATTCAAAGTGCTTTACATAAAAGGAAGTAAAATAATCATTAAAAAAAATTTATAATAACATTTTCAAAAATCACAAAAATAAAACAAGGAATTTAAAAACTTTGAAAATGATTTAAACTGAATTTAAGACAAATTAATAGAAAATGGTTATACATAAAATACAGTGCAATCAGTTCGGACATCGCACAGTGCTCATTCAATAAATGCACAGCTAAACAGATGAGTTTTGAGTCTGGATTTAAATCCGACTAATGTTTTAGCACATCTGATCTCTTCTGGAAGCTGGTTCCAGCTGCGGGCGGCAAAATAGTGTGAACCATTTCTAACTGACTCGATCCTAATGATCTGAGTGCTCTGTTAGGTCTATATTCAGTGAGCATATCTGCAATGCATTTAATGTCAATCCTATGGAAACTGTTCTCGACACTGACCTCCATGGAGTAAAGGTAAGCTGGGTTTTCGTGCATCAGATACGGCCACCACAGGTTGACGTCTGTGACTTTGAGGACTCCTCTGGAGCCGTCGGCCGAAGCCACGCATCTGCCGTCTTGAGCCGAGAGCGTGACTTTCACAGCGGGTTTAGAGCTGCCCAACACAGACACGTTAAAACTGACCAGCCCTAGAACACAGGATCGGATGAGACAATGCACATTTACACAGGCAGCATCTGTAGGCCACAGAAAATAATGTCACTCCGACAAAGTAAAATAACTAGAACACAGTCAGAAGAAGCAATGCACAATATAAATGATTTAAATGCAATATTATGCTAAACATGCATTTCATTATAAAGTTGGTGGACTACTTTGACAACAGCCTTTCAATACAATAAAACAATACAATACAACTTTACTGTTAACCAACTTTAAACTACTCTTTGAGAAGCCAGCTATATAAAAGATGCTAAAAACAACATAGGACATACAATCAATAAATACATTCAGTTTTTCTGATCTGAACATTTAGTACCTTTCGCAATCAACACAATATAGGATTTTTTTTCTCATAAAAAAAGAACAAAACCTAGACTGTAAAACATTATTATTATATTGGAGTATGTTTTATAAGAAAATACTATTTCAGTCGTTCTATTTCACTTTGATTCGATGCGTCTCTTTTGAATTATTTGTGAAATTTACCAGCATTTACGAAGTTAAAAATACCAGTTTTGTGTACTAGGAAAGTTCATGAAGCAACACAAACATTTATATATAATATAAATAATCCCAAAATTATAACTTTGAAGGAAGGTCAGTTCACTCAGCAACAACGTTGTTATTTCTTGCGCTCAAATAGCATTTAAAGTGCATATTTCTGGTTTCAATGAAAACTTGCAATCAAGTTTCAATTGTCCAAGCCTATGTTTTGTTACACATAAGGTGTATAACGACAGGTTTCGGAGGTGCTTACCGATGTTATCAGAGAACGTCGTCTCCACTGTAATGTCATCAATGTGCGCCTTCGGTGTAGTGTACAGCAGGACCGATCGGTGTATTCCAGCGTAGTTGAAGAAATCAAAGTTAGTGTTCTGAACGAAGTAGCCAGCGGGGTATCTGAGAGGAAAAGAAGATGGTAAAGACATGAAATGTGACCCTGGAGCACAAAACCAGTCACAAGTGTCCATTTTTTTTAAAATTGAGATTTATGCATCATCTGAAAGATGAATAAATAGCTTTCCATTGATGTATGGTTTGTTAGGATCGGACAATATTTGAAAATCTGGAATCTGAGGGTGCAAAAAAATCGAAATATTGAGAAAATCATCTTTAAAGTTGTTCAAATGAAGTTCTTAGTGATGCATATTACTAATCAAACATTAAGCTTTGATATATTTATGGTAGGAAATGTACAAAATATCTTCATGGAACATGATCTTTACTTAATATCCTAATGATTTTTGGCATAAAAGAGAAATGTATAATTTTGACCCATACAATGTATTGTTGGCTATTGCTACAAATATCCCCCAGCGACTTAACACTGCTTTTGTGCTGCAGGCTCACATATTTAGACATTTATATTATATCTTATTACACAGTATAAATACAATTTTTTAAGATGGGTTTCCTCGCAGGAGAATGATGATATTTGGGGGTCTGTAGCATCTAAAGTACTGAAATCTCCTTTGTTAACCTGACCCACTTTCCTTGATTTTATGGCACTATATCTGACCTGCTGCGATCGTTCATGTACTGGATGGTTCCCGGTGGAAGCGTCTCTAGAGTCAAAGTGTTGTTCACAGCGATGGTGATTCGACACGCACTCCCGCTCGTCTGCCGCAGAACGCCGCTGATGTCCGCCTCAAACGGGAGATGACCGCCCACGTGCTCGGTCACCTTGACCCCGTTCACCCACTGCGAGACGCACACATCACAGATCCTGAGACTGTGACTAATCATGAGTCAAACACAACCATCTGCATCCCACAGACTTACAAGCACTGAGTAATAGTGAGCGCTTCCCACTCGGAGCACGATCCGCGTTCCCCGGTCCTGGATCCAGCGCGCCGGCACCCATACGTCCTTCTCATACCACACCCAGCCAATGAAATCCCGGATTTTGGCATCTTGTGTGATGTCATTGAAACTGGACGGCACCGGCATGTCAATAACAGGCCCCGTCTAGAATAAAAATCACAATCACAAAAATTGCATAGCAATTTTAGCACCTAAAATTGCATATTAAGCATGCAGTTGTTCATATTTTGCATTTTAAGTGTGTACTTAAAATGCAAAATATTAACAACTGCATGCTTAACATGCAATATTATCACGCAATTATATAAGTTGGCTGACTTTGACAATAGCCTCTAAATAAGCTGGCACCGTTTCTGGGAATATACAACATTTAATTCTGATTACAGCATTTGGTTCTCTTCTTAATAAAGAGGATGTTACATATTGACACACATATTGCACGTCAGTTTATTGTGCAAAAAGAGCAGAAGATGACAACTGATCAGGGAATGAATCCAAAGGATTATGCTTAAATAAGACGCTAGATTGAAATAACTAGGTAAATGTAATTTAAATAATAATAATAAATTGTCTTAATTAATAATATGGTATGTATTCATAACAGTACAGTATTATAGTAAGTAGACAACAAATGTAATGTAGTATTATTGGAGTGATGGGAGTCCATGGGAATTATTACAGAAAACCAGTGTAAAAAATGTCAAAATAAATAAAACACAAGATTAAATTAATTTAACATAAAATGTAAAAATAATAATAATATGATACACAACCATAACACAATAAGGAAGTGTTCATGGAAAATATTAGAGAAAAACTGTAAAATAAAATGTATAAAATTAAATAAATAAACAAATAAGGTACAAGATTCACTCAATTTAACTCAAATCATTAAAAATAATAATTTAAATAATAAAAAAAAATATTTCAATAAGTAAAACAGTGCAGTACTATATAGTAAGCAGAAAACAAAAATTATAATGTAGCATTGTGGGAGCGCCTAGTGGCTCACAGAAAATATGAAGAGAAAAATTATGCAAAAAATTATACTTCAATAAACTTAAAAAAAAAATAAGACACTAGATTTAACTAGATTTTTTTTAATGCATAAAATAATAATTTTTGCATTTATTTTAAATTGAGCCCATGCATCTTACAAACTAATTGTATTTCCATTTACAGTGGCACCTAAAGGTCTGAGATTGCATTTAAAACTGAGAGTAGACAGAAAAACACTAGGTTTAAAACGACTAGAAGTTACTAAACAAAGTGAATAGTTTCTGAGAAGCTCTTTGGAACATCTCAAATTCGACTTTTTACTCGGATTTGTATTAGTGTGTAAACGCAGGTGTCACGTGACCTCCGCCAGAGGCCTCCGGTACCACTGCTGCTCAAAGCCGCGGCTCCGCTCCGGAGACAGATCCGCCCTGAAGCGCCACAGGCCGCTCGCGTCCTTCACTTCTCTGGAGGCAGACTCTGTGGGAAACAGCATCCCGCCCTGCAGCGCCTGGCACACACTGCACAGAGCGGCCAGAAACACGCGTTTCGCCGCTCGCTCCGCTCCGCTGGAGCCCATCACGCGCCGCTCGCTCGACGGTTTGTTTACACTGAAGCACTTCCGCTGCGCGCGTGACGTCACGACGCTTCCTCATCCGCACAAACACGTCAACAATAATAATCACTTATTAACACTACCTCAAACTACCTAAAATATATTTTTTAATTAACCATGAATAAAAAAAAGACTTATTTATATAAGTATTATCCTTGCAATTACAGTTCTATCTTGTAAATATTATTTAATGGTTATATTGACATATTGTACGTTTTGTGCTTCACGAGCAGAAACATGCTTTCATTTAATTATTTTGGAGTTGTTTTTGGTCAGATTTTTGTTCGTTCATTAAGGCTCACATCACGCCCAGCTGCCAACTGTTTTGAAAATGTTTCATTCGGTTTTTCACTTGTGACATGTTTTATGGAATATATATATATATATATTTGTAATTAATCTGCTACTTCTATTAGCTACCTGTATTAAGTATAGTAAGTTGTAAATGTAGGGGGGAAAAAATAAAAATATTTAGCAATATCTAAAACAATGTTATGCTTAAAAAATAAGAAAGCTGTAAAATGTAAAGTAACTCACTTGATTTTAATATTATAATTAATTATATTTTTGTTGCACCCTGTCTGTGTTTGTAATTCTTTAAAATCAGTCCCTTCAAAAAAAAAGTCAACAACAACAACAATAATTGTTATAATAATCCATGCATTTTATTTACGCTAGGCCTATATGTTATAGGCTATATCGTGGGCTATTCTATGTTATATGTTTATGGAAACATAAGGACAAAAATAGTGTTTAGACATCAAGGATTTTAGAGAAGCCTGTATAATATCAAATAAATAATACTGCACAGATTCAAAAATGTAAATAACCTAAAAAGCCAAACTGACCCGTATGTAATATAAAAGACGAAAGTGCAGGTGTCGTTTCAACCACGAGGGGGAGACAGCACATCACTCAAGATTCACTGCCTAAGCATCTCTATGATATATTTGCATGTGCACACAGAATAATGAGTCCTAATGGATACTGTGGCTACAGAGACCCGTATGCACCTACAATAAAACTAACAGCTGTAACTAAGTGTGTTTACAGTCTCTCAGGTGAGACAAATCAACCAGATGAGATCACCTGCATCTGGAAAAATACTTAACCTATTCAAATGTGCTCAGATTGGAGCGCAGGTGTTTGTGTTGAGATTACAGTCGCCTCTCTGCCGCCCCCTGCAGCGCTGGAGGACGCGGGATTTACCTCAGGTGGACAGGTGAAGGTCTCTGGAAAAGTTTCAGGTAAGTTCTTCTTAAATATGGGTTTATTAAATCGGTTGAACTGCAAAATCGCATCATGAACGGCTCCAGACAGTGCCTAATCTGGACAATAAAATAGGCTACCTAAAAGTGCAAGCAGTACAGAAATAAAACAAATATTGCGAAATATCAGAATATCAAATAAAGCACTAATTTTTCTCTTTGTGTTCTCTTTGAGGTGCTCAGGTGTGTTCTAAATGTGGATACATTTGTGTTTTTGGCCATGCAGATGCATGTTGATGTAACAAACATGTCTTGCTTCTGTAGTTATTGTTTCTGAAGCAGATTTATTTTTTTTAAAGATAAAGCACATTTAACACAAAATGGGGATTCAGAGTGTTTTGCATAAAAAAGGATTGAAAAATAATCAAAACCGATGCATACGAAATAAATACAAACAATAATACATTAAGATCCTGCAGTGCTCATAATCTTGAGACCGTGATCTCCCTTGATTTTAATAAATATGTAGTAGGCTTTTAAACATGGTATATGCAGACGTATTATATTATTGTTTTCTTGTGTGGCAGGCTAAATCTCACTTCACATGCCTTTAACCTGAAAACTGTGCAAACAATAATTGCCTTCACATTGGACCAAGAACACACAAATGCAGAGATGGGACTCTGTCTCTTTGTTTCAGAGGTCCAACATTGTCACTGATACAGTATAAAAAGTTAAACTGTGGTACAGTACAGACAGATTAGATCATGTCATGAGAATGTGTCTAATGCACTACAGAGATGCAATGTAAACAGGACAATGAAGTGCACTTGAGGATGTTTTTAAGTAACTTGACAAGCTGTTCTTTAATCAGGATGTTAGTGATCTGAGGCGTCTTTATCTCCTGTAAGTGGACAATATTTTCAATATATTTGTCAAAAGTACGATTTATTTCTTTGAGTGAGTTTCAGTTACATTCTGTTAAATTCCTTCAGTTTTCTGCTCGTCAAGTTGCTTGTTCAGTTATTAGATAGTAGAGCGCCCTCTATAGTGATATCAGAGGAATGGTCACATCTTCTGAAGTCAACATATTCTGTTACACCAAATACACAAAATAATGATCTTTAAAATAGCATCATATGACCCCTTTAAAATGAGCCATCATGTCATGGACAAATCCAGCATTAATTTCCTGTCGTGTTTTCCCAGCAGCGCTCTGTGAAAACAGTCTGTGAGTCCTTCTCATTATGATTGACTCAAGAGGTCCATTTCAAAACACATTAAACGATACTAGTCCCTATTATTCTGTTGCTTCTTAAAACACACATTTCCAGCTTCTTGTTTTGGTTGTTTATGGTATTAGAGTGCATTGGAGTTAGGCTACAAGGTTTTTAATGAATTAAGCAGTCCTGCGTCCAAAGAGCACAGATTTATGGACTGCACACCCCAGTAGCATATTTTTTATTTAGGTAACTGCACATTTTTATCGCATAATCCTGACTTGTATGTATCTCGCTATTCAGATTTTCTTCTTTTCACAATTCAGATTAGTCAAGTTTAGGTTATATCTCTTAATTCTGATGAAAACAAATAGATAAAATGTTGCATTTACCTTTTAAATGTTTTTAATTTCATGTCAGAACTGATTTTAATTTGTCATGTAATACAGAATATATTTGTCATGTGCAAGAACATCATTCGGGGGTTCTCCACATAAACATTGTGTAATTAAAATGGCATTAGAGCAGATTTACTTGATAGCCATAGGGTGAAACAGGGTTAGGGAGCACAATCTGGATTTAGGAGAATTCCCAGATCTTCACCCCCACTGCCTTTTGCTGTTATTAAAACTACGTAACCATCTAAGTGCTTGAAACACTCATTTTTTGCCTTACTTTGTGACCCAGTTTCTGTGTGGAAAACCTACTTGGACTGAAGTTGTTTGTGAAGTTTGAAAGTTCTGGACATCATGCTTTAGCCTAAAAATGTTTGGTCGAAAACACGAGGTCGGTCAGTTGCTGACAGAACAGTTTCACTCTTATTTTTCTTCTCATATGAGATTATACGTTTGATTTTAGTTTATTATAGACTTACATTTTCACAGTCAAACGAATCTGATTCTTTTATTTACATGCAAACATAACTGTATTAATTTAGCAGATGGTTTTATCCAAACGTTAAAACAAAGCAATTCCTCCAGATCAGACATAAATAGCCGTATATCACATTCCACACTTGAAGTTAATTGGCATGAAATTGATTTATTTTCTTTATTACTGTTAGTGTTTGCATCAGCTATTGACTTTTTCCAGCAGGCAGATTTCAGTATTGTTTTCCAAGGCTTCATTTGCATATAAAAACCCAGAGGTGAATTTATTTAAGCAGGTCTTAAACGATCATTGATTTTTTTGGGTGGCTTTTGAACTTCCTGACAAAGATTTTATTACCTGTTATAAAATAGGAAAACAGTTGAATTGGCCTTCAGTGTTTTTGGTAGATTTTATGTTCCATAAAGTGTTTCATTTACTTCACCAGACCTTGTTTTGACTGATCAGATGACAAATCTGTTCCATCATAAGAGCAGAGATATCGCTGCTTGATCTGTGCAGATTTCTCTCCTGATTCAGATCAGAACACTTTTTCACTGGAAGAAGCGTTATTATGGATTATGGACTCTATTATAATAATCTATATTTAACTATTTTAGTTAAAACGTCTTAATGATGGATTTGTTTTTTACAAACACACAGCTTTTGTGTTCTCCAGATGTTCACTGATGGACTGGAGTGCTGTGGATTACTTGTGGATTGTTGTGATGTTTTTATCAGCTGTTTGGATACTTGACGGCACCTATTCACTGCAGAACATCCACTTATTATTTCTTTCGAACAATCATCTGTCTTTCTGCATTTGCTCAGATGCATCTCTAAAGCATCCTGTTTTTCTACATTGTTAAATTTGATGTTGTGTAAACACGTGTTTCTTATCACATCTTCCGCCTGGACGTTTATGAGACCAGGAAGAGAAATCCATTTCCTTCAGATTTCTATACATCCTTCTAGGAAGATCCTAAAGATCCTAAAGTCCTTGTCTTTTGTCTGTCTGCGTCCTGCTGTGAGTCTGTGCCGTGTCTGTTCTATGTGACAACGTGCTGCTTCTTTTGGACACGTTTGTTGACTTAATCACTTGAAACTCTCTCAGATTTGACTGATGCAGAATGACAGAGTGTGTGTGTGTGTGTGTGTGTGTGAGTGTGTGTGTGTGAGTGAATGAGTCAGTGTGTGTGAGTGAGTCAGTGTGTATGAGTGTGTGTGTGTGTGTGTGTGAGTGAATGAGTGAGTGAGTGTGTGTGTGTGTGTGAGTGTGTGTGTGTGTGTGTGTGTGAGTGTGTGTGTGTGAGTGTGTGTGTGTGTGTGTGAGTGAATGAGTGAGTGTGTGTGAGTGAGTGAGTGTGTGTGTGTGTGTGTGTGAGTGTGTGTGTGTGAGTGTGTGTGTGTGTGTGTGAGTGAATGAGTGAGTGTGTGTGAGTGAGTGAGTGTGTGTGTGTGTGTGTGTGTGTGTGTGTGAGAGCGTGTGTGTGTGTGTGTGTGTGTGTGTGTGTGTGTGCATTGACGTAATGAGGGTTGCTTGCAACAGCGATCTGTCTCTGAGATGACATAAAATCAGAGATGAGGATAAAGTGAAGTGCTTCTTGACGCCTGTCATCGAATCTCAAACGCTCGCTTGTGTCTGAGTCACAGAAGATTAAAACCTCAGCTCGTTCTTCACTCATGCTGCATACTTTATTAATTCAAA